ACCTTAGAGTCATGTTCAAGCTAGACAAGTGTTCTGCCATACAACAGAATTCTCACACTTAGACCTAGACTTTAAAAAATGATGGTACATACTATTTTATGTTACAATTCTCAGTTGAATCCCTATAGTAAGATGTTTTCTTTATTTTGTGTGCAAATGTCCTTTTATAAATGCATTATTGCACACAGGCATATGCGTGTATGTGTCTCTTATGTTCTACTTCTTTTTCTACCTTACTTTTGGAGTACTAGATTTAATCCAAGGTCTTGCGTATGCTAACAAGTACTCTGCCACTGACTAGTGTCCCAAGACCTTTAAAAGAGTTTGAGATAAGTTCCTACTAAAGGTAACCATGCTGGCCTTAAACTGACTATGTAGCTCATGCAGGCATTGAACATATAATCCTTTTGGCTTCATATTCCAGAATAAATGACATTATAGGAATATGCCACCACCCCTGGCCTTACCTCTAATTTTGGAATTCTGTTTCTTAATTTTTATATTTTTGTCTTGGGATTAGAAAGGATTTAGAATGGATAATTTTAAAACTTTTCTTGGTATGAGTAAATCTCAGATGTGTTGGTGTGTATTTTCTTTTCCCATTTATTTGCTTAAATTTATACCTTTGTTTATGAAACAACTTGTTTTCAGGTTTCATTTAGTTTGGGAAGTTAGACATGTTAGAAGTAAAATAAAACTGGTTGGTTCCAACTACTGCAGTTCAACTCTGTTGAACTAGCTTGTTCTTTAAGTGACCTAATTTCTGATTGTGTTTTGAGCCACTGTCAAGTGAATCCTGTATGATTTAATAATCATGTACTATGAGTCTTGTGTTTTAAAACAAATTTAATTATATATTCTAAGTTGTAATACATTGTGGTTATTTTCTTTTCTAGTTTGAAATGCTTACTGGCACTTTGCCATTTCAAGGTAAAGACAGAAATGAGACCATGAATATGATACTGAAGTAAGTAGAAACACTATTTTATTTGGGGAAAATATTCTTGTCTCTAGTATTGAAAACATTAATGTGCATTTCTATAAAGACTTCAACAATTTTTGGTCTTTTTATCTTATTCTAACATATTGGGGACTCTTTAAAATTTTTGAGATTCACTTTGAGATTTATTGACTTAGTGTGTCTAGATTTAAGTGAAATTTTCTATACTGTTTTTCAGAGCAAAACTTGGAATGCCTCAATTTCTTAGTGCTGAAGCACAAAGTCTTTTAAGGATGTTATTCAAAAGGAATCCAGCAAATAGATTGGGTATTGTAAATCTTCTTTAACCTTTATAACAATGTACTACATATACTAGCTAAGTAAATGGATCTTTATATGTTCTAGTTTAAATTCATCTATGGTTACTGTATATTTATGTTTGAGTTGTGGGCTTTTAGTATTTTATATAAAATAAAAATTTTGCTTATGTTTAAAACATGTCTTGTTAATGAAAAGTTTTATTAAGCATGTAGTATTATGTACATAATATGGGTTGTCTTTTGAAAAAATGTACAGCTTACAGTGTATTGATAATCCTTTTAGATGTTTGAGAGTGATGATTTTGCCTCTTCTAGTAGACTTCAAAGTTACAATGCCTTTTCCTAGATCTGGAGGTGATGTTCTTGTGTTAAAAGTACAATATGCTATTTTCCCTCTGTAGAGTTTAACATAGTGTATGAATATGAGACATAAGGTGAATTTTGAATAACAATTACTTAGTTTAATAATAAACAAATTTTGTTTGTTAGGAGGCATTTTAGTATTTAGTATTTTGTGTTGACTTATACGGTTCATTATTTGTATCAGTTTTCTTTTTTATTGATAGTAAAGGACAAGTTAATACCAGATAAAGAATCATAGATATTTCACTATAAGGAAACCAGGGAAAATATGCAGTAATGTTTATATCTAATAGTGTAGAAACCAAGATTAAAAAATTATGCAACTAAAGTTATTTCCATATTATAGGATCAGAAGGAGTGGAAGAAGTCAAAAGACATGCTTTTTTTACATCTATTGACTGGAGCGTAAGTTGAATATAAGTTTGTTAGTAAAAATGTTATATTAAAATGAACAAAATTCTTGAGAATCAGTGGTAATATAGTGACTTTGAAGATAAAAATAATCCATTTATTTTATAATAAGTCTGACCTTTGTGTTTATAGTTATCACATAGCATGACAATAACTTGAAGTAGTAGATGTATAGAAATAGTAATTTTGTTTGTCATTTGTTGTAACTATTATGATTAATATTATACTTCCACTATATTTGAGGAGAGGATGAAGGGAAAAATAAGTGAGGCTATGACAGACTTCAACTCTACTTTATCTGTGTTTTAAATTCAATTGATATGGTCTGTTGTACTCCATGAGTTCACTTTCGCTCTATACATCTTAATGGTGAAATGGATTTGTGGTAAACAGCATGCAGTTTTTTTTCCTGCCTTTTTCCTTGAATGAGTCTTTGTTTTGTAATACTTAAATCAGGCACTATGATCACTAGCTCTGTGATCACCAGCTTGATTTCCTTATCTCTGTTGAAGCTGGTTTGGTAAGTGAATGGCTGTTCCACTTGGAGTGTTTATGAACAGAGATTGTCAGAGCATCTTACTCAGCTGTAATCTTGTTTACCCATCTGCATTTTTAAAACATGCACAGTTTAGGAACTTAAGAGTATTAAGTAAGAAGAGTGTATTTAATCTTATATGGAAACAAACTATTTTAGATGAAATACTCATGAAAATAATCTGATCATTGATTTTGTTAGTTGTCTCAAAATTTTCACATTGTGATATGCTTTGTATGGTGATAGCTCTAAGGAGAACTTATTTTGATATCCAGTGGTGAACATCATTATTTACAGTGCCAGGTGTGAAGACATTATGGTGTTATAAGGGCTTCATTAGATTTTGGACATTACATCTCAATTTTTGTAGAATTTGGTTAACCATTATCTGAAACCTGTGTACAGGTTTTGAGTCTTCTGATTGT